CAGTGGGCCTTGATGTGTGGACAGCTGCATTCTCACACAACCCTGAATTTCCATCCTTCCTCTCTGCCTGAGAGTTTGCATTTCTCCACTTAGACCTGGTAGTATTTGTAGGGAACAGGAAGTCATTTGTATACATGGATTTCTGGGTCTTTCTTTGTGGGAGATAACAGTAGAAAAAAATATGGTCAGGTTGCTGAGAGACATTGTTAGAAGTTTTTGTTACAGGAACCTGAATGTTTCACAGGATCAAATGGCAGATGTGATAAAGTTCATCTTTACTCTTAGGGATGCACTAGTATTTGTGAGTGAGTGTGTGTGTGTGTGTGTGTGTGTATGTGTGTGTGTGTGTGTATGTGTGTGTGTGTGTGTAGTTCCTTGAACTCATGGCCTGCGTGCTGTTGCTGAGGTGTTTAACTTTTATTTTATTTTTCAGAAACAGCAGATTTATGCTTTTATTTTCTTTGTGCTAAAAAAAAAAGAAACAGCAGATTCCCAGATAAGGGCATACATGCCAGAACTGAGCAACCACCAAACCATCTGCCTACAAAAGAAGTAGCTTTGCAAAAACAATGCTCAGGTTTTTGTTTTACACTGAATCACTGTGGAACACCCATTATCATACTGGCTGCAGCGACAAACTGCAGCATCCACAGACTCCAGGCTGCTGATGTTAAGAGTAATATCTTCCTGACCCATTGCCACTGAACCTGGTAGGGAGGTCCATCGCTCTGGTGATTGTCCCATAGATAAGGAGTTTGGGAGTCTTCCCATGTTTCTGGTGGTACCAGGCCAAGTTGGAGCTAACACTTTGACTAGCCTGGCAGGTGACATTGTCTCTTTTTCCTGGAGACAAAGAGAAGAAGGCTAGAGATTGCATCAGTGGAGCTTCTCTAGTGGTATCCAAGGTTGAAAATGGAAATGTCAGCCATGACCTTCTCAACAAACATGTTGTCTCCTTGTAAAATGAGTATGGTCGATCTACACGGAGGTTTCATTACTATGGTCGCAGAGCAGAGGTCATTGTTATCTCTTGTTTTTCTCACCTGGGAGCCAGAGTAACAGAAGGCAGAGAGGCTGAGCTTGGGCTTCCATGGTTCACTCTGGGTCCTACCTGAGGTAGCTCTGCCCAGACCTCTGCTTTGGCATTGATGTGAGGTCTTGACAGCAGGACAGAATGGGAGGAGAATGCAAACCATCTGGAAAGGTTCAAGTGGTTATGTGAGAAAATACCTTACCTCAGTCTGATGGCAGACTTCAGTCTCAATGACCCTGTAACTCATCTGTCAGATAAAATCAGCCAGACAGTATTTGACAAATTGTGGACAGAGTAATGATGCTAGTCTTATTTCACTACTTCTAGCACCAAGGCTTCCAGGTATTTCTTTAGTGAAATACTGGATGAGGTTAAAGGAAGAATTGATGAGAAGCTAATATTGCAGATATATCTGACATTTGCTGTTGAGTGATCTTCCTTGAGGGCCTTGAAACTTCCTCATTCTTTAACAGAATTAGTAAACAGCATCACTTTATTGGCCACAATAGTGTATGTTTGTGTGTGTGTGTGTGTGTGTGTGTGTGTGTGTGTGTGTGTGTGTGTGTGTTTGGTTTAATAGCAAAGAAGTGGGTCTTATATCTGACCCTAGAGTGAATGACACCATTTCCCTGAAGATTTCATTATCCATCACTCTAGCTTCTGGTTTTCTATTTTACTGTAAGGAACTATGTTCATTATCCTGGCCTACAAGGAATCCAGGCTGTATTTTCCAAATTCTCCAAATTGTGTTTATTGGGTAGCTATGCTTTGCCCAAGGCCATCCCCTTGTGAAGCCAGAACAGCACTTTGCCTCTAGTCTGTGATTGTAGACATCATTCCTGTAAACCATATGTTTCCCAATGGCTGTGAAAATTTTTTGGGTTTCGATTTGTTTTATGTACGTCCATAAACCTTTATTAGTACTATTTCAATTTTGGAATTATCTTTGTATACAGTTCAACTCTTCTCATGTAGGCCTTAGGGTGATAATAACTAGGTTAGGGACACAATGCCATATGTTTAGTGATTGTGTAGCACCAGTGCAGTTCCTTAGCCTCTCTTTGTCTCAATGTCCTTATCTGTGTAACCATGAGAATAATTTTACTGGGCTGAGAGTGCAGCTCAATTGGGAGAATGCCAGCCTAATGAGCTCGAGGCCCTAGCTCCAACCCAAGTGCTACCAAATTAACCAGTTTCATGGTGTATTTGTATGAGTTTCAAGCCTCTTCTTCTATGGCTATGGCAGATTGCAGTCCTGAGGTTTCACTGTCTCACATGTCTTTGAGTCTTATTTCAGCACAGGTCACCGTAACTTCTTCTTTGATCATACATATCCAGATGCTTCAGCTTTTTTCCCCTCCTCACATTGTCAAAAATTGTCTTATGAAAAGGAGAATTTAATCTTGTTCTCCTCCTCCTCTTCCTGCTTTTTTCCCACTTTCTTTGTTCTAAGAAGCCATTTAGAGCAAGTTTAATATATTACACAAATAGAAAGCCATTTTAAAATTAGATGATTTAAAAATAATCTGCTGAGAACTTTACATCTTTGGCTGGTGGAGGGGTGGGGAAGGGGGCCTGGGAGATGGGTGTGGGGGTGGTTGGGAGATGGGAAGGTATGGGAAGGGGAAAAAAGGAGGAGGCAACAATGCTTGATAAGAAATGTACTAATAAGTTGCACTGTGGCTCAAGTGGTAGAGCACTAGCCTTGAGCTGAAGAGCTGAGGGACAGCACCGAAGCCCAGAGTTCAAGCCCCACGACTGACAAAAAAAAAAGAAATGTACTGGTTACCTTGCCCATGTAATTGTAACCACTCTGTATGGTATTTTCACAATTAAAAAAATCTGTTGATCCATATAATTAACCATTGTAACAAGATTATAAACAAGATAAGAGTTGCATAGTAGTGGAAAATATTTAAATATTCCACATCTATTCATGATCATTCTAAAGGTATTCATGTCTAAGGAAGACAGAAATAATGGAAAAATATCTTAGTGGTTTAAAATATGTGTAAAATCTATGACAAATATCATACTCAGTGGTGAAATCTTGTAACATTTTTCCCATCACACTGTATTGAATGCTGAAATGTTCACTGTCATTTCTTTACAGACAAAATTATTAAGTATGTCCTCCAAATTCTATAAAGCAAGAAAGAAAAGAAGATATTAAATTGAGAAATGAAGTAGGAAATTATCTTTATTTGCTGATGAGGACTATAAAAATAAATTATTAGAAATAATAAAAACGATGTAAAGTCTGTGGAAACACAGTGAATAGAGAACTAATGCTTTAAGATTAAAGGAGACATAGCTACTTAAAAATATTTCCCTCTTCATGAATCAGAACACAACATCATTATAATTTTCTCTAATTAGAAATATACAATTAACACAATGCAAAGATAAAAAATCCCTAAAAGAATATTTAAAGTAGGAATTGTAAATTTAGAATTCCCATTGCAATTCAACAAACTCCCAGAATATCTTAAGTTCAGAAATCTGGCGTTATATCTTCGGAATTTATTTTCCTTCTTTGCTTTAAAGCTACCATGGTCCAACTCCTTAATAATAACAATAAAGAATGGCCTGGAGCTAGAAACTGGTAGGTAAATTACGTTGGCAGCTGAGGAAAGAGTGCAACACATGGAATCAGTCAGGGTAAAGTTTATTTTGAGTTGCAGGCTGCCTCTGGTCACCTTGGAAGTCCATACAGCCAGAAAAAGGGGCTTAACCACAGTTAGGCCAGGACCTATAAAGGCCAGGGGGAGAAGAAGGCATGGCCACACTGGATGAGGATGTGACCTCAGGGAGAGGAGGTGGTGGCTGCCTCCAAGTGTGCCAGTTACCTAGGTGATGCAGGTAATAGGTGGAGACTTAGCCAAGGGGAGGGAGGAGTCTACTCTGTTTTCCCAGGGCAGAAGACACACTCCTGTAATCCTAGTTATTCAGGAGGCTGAGATCTGAGGACTGAGATTTGAAGTCTGTCTGAGTAGGAAAGTCTGTGAGACTCTTATATCCAATTCAGCACCAAAAAAGCCAGAAGTGGAGCTGTGGCTCGAGTGGTAGAGTGCTATCCTTGAGCACAAAAATCTCAGGATTAGCACCTAAGCCCTGATTTCAAGCCCCAAGACAAGTACATTAAAAAAAAAATCAGGAAACCAATCCACCAGTGTACAACTTGATGATTTCTATCATAGCAATGGACTGGGGAGTAGACAGCTGTAATAATTGTTTTGCTGTGGTGTGCAACTTCTCCCATCATTTACTTCTGGAAGCCAATTTCACCAGTATTTCTTGTAGATTTTCTGCATGAAGAGTCCTCATGAAGATGGAAAGTTATAAGAGTGTGCTTTAGAATGCACTAAAATCTGCAGCAGACACTGGGTAGAGGGAAGGATTGAAGTCACCTGTCAGGATTTACAAGCAGTTGAGAGCATTGGCACCCACCCCTAGTGTCTAGACAGGGCAAGGACCTAAGTAAGGAGATCTCCAGTTTCAAAGGTGGATCATCTGGGGTTGAGGAATACCAGAGAACACTCCATTTGTGTGGTTAGCTTTACTCGGTAATGTACCCAATCCTTGAATGGCAGTAGCTTAGAATATATTTCTTGTATTTAATATAACCAACTTGGATTAGCTGGCTTCTTTCTACTTTACAAATGAACCCCAGTTAATGCTCTCACAGACTCCTCATGCTTGATCATTTCTGTGCTCTATTGAATCAGGAGAGGCATTGGCATGTTTGTACTGCTACAAACAGAGAGCTAGAGTAGAGAGAAGTCTGCCCAGCTACTTCTACCAAATATTCCAGTGACCCTCAGGAATGCATCTGAGCAGCACTGTCAGCAGGTGAAGGCTGCAGGAGCAGCAGCTGGGGCAGCCCAGTCTCTTACTTCTGCTTCCCTTGGAGGTTTTTGTTATGACTTGTATCACTGTGGTAGGATAGCTGCTATGCTGCATATAGAAATAAGTAGCAAAATCATCAGGCTGAAGGCTGCTGATGGTGAGAGTGAACTCTGTTCCAGATCCACTGCCACTGAACCTGGATGGGACACCTGATTCTAAATTAGATGCTTTGTATATCAGGGGTTTGGGAGCTTTCCCTGGTTTCTGCTGAAACCAGGCTAACCAACTGCTAATGCCCTGACTGGCCCAGCAATTGATGGTGACTGTGTCTCCTGGAGATGCAGACAGGGAGGATGGAGTCTGGGTCATCTGGATGTCACATCTGGCACCTGGCAGTGGAAACACAAAAACAAATATCCTCTTTGATAATCATGTAATAAGAGGCCTTCATTGAAGTACCAGACAGCCAAGGCTGTATTAGGCTGGGTTGGTTAATCTCCAGCATTGTCCGTCCTTACCTGGGAAGCAGAGCAGCAGGAGCCCCAGGAGCTGAGCAGGGGTCCTCATGTCCACGCTGTGTGCTGACAGGCACTGACTGCTGTACAGGGTGTGTGCAGTCTATGAAGAAGTGCTCAGGACAGTGGGCTGTGCTCTGGTCACATGGAAATCAGCAGGGGGTGGGCAGGGCCTGGCACAGCTGCACGATTGGCTCAACTTAGTGAGTCACCACAGGCCTGGCTTCCACACCAGACAAGGGTGACATGAATTTGTCTGCAGAGAAGATTTTTCTCCCTGGGGGACATTTGACTGTAGAAGACATTTAAAGTCTATTTTCTAAATGTTTAATGCACAGAAACAATTTATAGAGTATTTCATAAATATATTGAAGCACATTCTTGTTTCCACTTAGATTTTTATGCACTATCAATAATTCTATCTGGAAAAAAGTCACTTTCTGTTTTCCATACCAAGTACATATACATTGAAAATTGTTTTCTTTGTTTTCCTTTTTCTCTGCTTCCTTCTTTCTTTCCTCTTTGTTTATTCTCTCCTTCCTTCCTTCCTTCCTTCCTTCCTTCCTTCCTTCCTTCCTTCCTTCCTTCCTCCCTTCCTTCCTGGTTTCCTTCCTTCCTTCTTTTAGGTTTTGCACTTAGTTTTTGAACTCAATTTCTGGGTGCTGTCCTTTAGCTTTTTTCTTCAAGTTTAATGTTCTACCCCATGAGGCACACTTCCATTTCTGACTTTTTGATTATTAATTGGATATAAGAATCTTGTAGACTTTCTTATGCTGGCTGTCTTTAAGCAACCAGTCTCATATCTCATGTTCAAGAGCACATAGGTTGATAGGTATTAGACATTGGCACCTGAATAATATGATTCATCTGTCTGCTTGTCTATCTTTCTGTCTGTCTCTCTCTGTGTGCACTTCTTGGGGCATGCACTCAGGGCCTGGGTGCCCTCTCTTAGATTTTTGTGCTCAAGGATGCCACTCTGCTATACTGCTTCAAGATTTTGGATGGTTAATTGAAAGTAAGTGACTTATGGACTTTCTTGCCTGTGCTGGTTTCGAATTGCAATCCTTGCATCTCAGCTTACTGAGTTGCTAACCGTATAAATGTGAGGTAAGGTACCTTTCAGTTTAATTTCTTTATCTAAACAGATAATATGAAACATACTGAATGTATTCAAAAGTGTTTTGTGGTAGTTTTAGTCATGGCCATTACAATATAAGATGAAGAAATATCTGCTTATCCATATTTACTCTGATTTCTCAATAATGACACATAAATTTACCACCATTGAAACTTTAGGTGTCTTTTATTCCCAGTATCTAAATAGACTGTATGCTTTCTGATTGGAAACCTCTCATGTTTTGTGCCATTTACTATTACTTCTCACAGTTCATCAGGATGAAGTGATAAGTATTGATGCTGCACATGATTACTTCAACAAAAATTACTGCTACCCAGCCATACATTCCCTGTCTTTTATTTTTTCCAAATGAGTGGAAACATCATGTCTGCCCAGATACTAGTATTGCTGTTTACATCTCTTGGAGACAGAGAGAAAGAGAGAGAGAGAGAGAAGATAGAGAAGAAGAAGGAAAGAGAGAGAGGGAGAGAGAGAGGGGGGGGGCTCTTGATTTGTTCTCAAACCAGTAAAAATATCCCTGAAGAAACATTTTGGATCTGGATAAAGAATGGATGGAAATTTGATCAATCAGATATCATATCATGTCTTTTTCTTGGACCTATCCAAGTTTCACAGCAAGAGAAGCCATTTTTGCTTCCTCATGCCCACCCCACACTGTAAGAATTCTGAGAGTCTTAGTGAAATAGCACAATGCATCTAAATGGGATGAAGAAGGCATATGTCAATGGACATCTTACTGTGGTGAGATTGTAAGAAGTAAAGCCCAAATGGTGACTATGAAGTCATTTGTCACAAGTGGAGCCCAAAAGGTGACCATGATATCATTTTGCTAATTATTCATGTCGTTTCAGCAAGTGTGGAGATGTGAAGACTGAGCTAAACTTTCAGGCAGTGGAATAAACTACAAAGATTTGGATCAGGACTCTCTGTCCAGGGCTGACACACTTGCTCTGGGCTATAAAAGAAGCAGTCACCCTCCAGAGTGATGGAGCTGAGAACCTGGGGTAACAAAGGCCCTGCCCTGTGGTAGCCTTGGATTCACTGAAGTAATATGCTCACTACTCACTGTAATTGAACCCAGCTGAAAGGCCATGACCAGGTTGAGAGACTTAGTCATCAGGAGCTCAGAGTTTTGCCTGTACTGTGGGGCTGGCTGACTTTCTGTTGTTCTCACTAGTCATGAGGAAAGTCAGCTAATGTCCCTCATCCAAGTAACTTCTTACACACTTGGTCAATCATGTATAAATTTTATGTATATTGTATGTCTTCCTCATTGTTGATGATTCTGAAAAACAACATCTGTGACAGCACTAAAATTTCAAATTCTTTCCATCTCCAGTTCATTTCACATACATTCATAAGCCACTTCAGTCATCTCGCACTGAATTTCTTAGAAGGTTAAACCTTCAGTGTGTTCTGTCCTACTGAGAATTTACAAGGCCAACTCATGCTGACTGTGTGCACATGGCTTGTGGTACCTCAGAGGGCAGTACTTTGTTCTCACACATCCAGTCCACTGTTGAACTGGAGTTTTCACTCCATTCTAAGAATCCTAGTAAAAAGAGCATCATTGTGTGGATGTGCTTATAACAGATTGAATAAAGTAGAAAATATTCAGAAACAAGCAGAGCACCAAGGCAATACGTGTAGTATCTCAGACATATGAACCCCAGGGTAACTGTGCAGCAAGCTTGCCAGGCTCAGGTTGCTAAGAAGGAAGCTCACTCCTGCTCTCCATGTCTTTCATGATCTGAATTCTGGGGCTTTGCTGATTGAGAGGTTGGTTTGCCCTCTTGTGGCAGACTTGTGACATAAAACTCTTTAGGATTGTCAGTTTGGAGTCCCAGGGTCTAGACTGAGAATCTTTTCCTCCAATATTGACAAAGTAGGTCCTATTCCATCTGTTTCAAGACCAGATTCAGTAGGAAAGTCAAATAACTCTTATTATCAGGCATTTTATGGCGGTTTACGAAAAAAATGTATTAGTTTCCAATGAATTCTGAGAATTTATTTTCTACAAGGTAGTTGGTGGCCTAGGATGTATGTTTCCTATGAGGTGCCTAAGATGTGATTTTGGCAAAGAGGAGGATGTCTTGAGTGACAGAGAAGGGTACAGAGAAGGGGCTCTGGTCCAGGTCCAGGTCTTCCAATCCAGCCTCATTATCTGTATCACAGAAACTATTTTGCCATACCACTCATTTCCTCAAGGTCCTGAAAAAATGGAATCAGTTAGCTGGAGAACTGACTAATACCATTATTTTCAACACTACCTCCTTCCCTTAAAGGCTGTCTTGATCATCTGATTCCTATATGGAACAATTGCAGCACTTCCATTGACTTGCATTTGAACTGGTGTTTGCAACATTAGGATAGCCACAATGGAACTCAGTATGTAAAGACTGGTCCAAATTTGATGATAATCAAATTTTGTGATTTTCCCAATGTCTTGTTTATATCACTAATATTAACTTATTTGACTGATTTACCAGAGGATGGAATGACATCAGAACAGAAGGATGTAGTAATAATATTTAATAGACTTTAACTAAAGAGCCTTTGGGAAGAGCAAACTCTTAGCTTCTGATGCTTGTGGTCAAACTGAAGATAGAAATAGTTTTCTGGGAAGCTCCTAGAGGTAGAGCATGAAAGTTCTATTGTAAGGGGAAAAGAGAAGAATGGAAATCAGGCTCAATGTCATGTAGAATTATGCTTAGTATTTTGACATTGTATAAGTATTGGTTCTATATTGGGTATCATGGCTCCTAATTGCAAGCCTAACTACTTTGATCAATAGAAATAAGGAGGATGACAATTTGAGACCAATTTGAGAGATCAGCAACAATAACAAGAAGTTTTGTGTCAGAGCAATGGGAAAGAGAGAACATCTCAGGAATTGGTTAAACTTCTATGGATAGATTGGAAGATTGTGGAAGGGTAAACTCATGTGAAAAACTTTCCCTTGAGAGAAGATTTCTTCCAGACAATAAGCTCATAGAGAGACACCTGGAAAGTCATTTCACTGGGATTAATTTCACCAGAATTTCTTTTGCAGGCAAGCTTGAGCTACCTGGAGACCAGTAGAACAGGAGAGAAGACCCAGGAATAAATCCACATAGCTATAGCCATCTGAATTTTACCAGAGTCAAAACATACACTAGAACAAAGAGAGTCTCTTAAAAAGTTTTGATGGGAAACCTGAGTATGTACATATAGAAGATGGACTCTACTTCCCTTTTCTCACCATTAAAAAATCAATCTGGATTGGATCAAAGGTATGTGAGATGTGATACTTTGAAACTACTATAGGAAAAATTCTTGAAGATTTGGGTTCAGGTAAATAATTATAAACAGGGCTTCTGTTGCCCAGGAAATATGTGCAAGAAATGACACATGGAACTGCATAAATTGTAAAAGTTTCTGCCTATCTGTAGAGAAACGTATACACACACACACACACACACACACACACACACACACACACACACACACATATCACACATATACACATGTAGTACTAGGGCATGAAATCAGGATTGGACCCTGTCCCTAGCA